AAATCGAGAAGTGACTGCTGAAATGTTGTCAGGGACTGGTGATTATGCTACTAATGAGCAACAGTTCCGCTTGCCACTTGAAGTTTGGGCAAATAGCCACCATTGCCACTTGTGCATGGAAGAAAATACCTAATTCTTCTGGAGGATGCCTTTCTTTTGTTAAGGTGCATCAAGGGCCACAAGAAACCTATGAGTTTTATTTTTGGACAGGTTACAAAGATCTTTATACTGGCAAGTAGAAAATGCAGATGAAGCTGAGGCACTGTTGAAACAACTGGCCTTTGAGAATGCTAATGCTGATTGGCAGGAGATATTGAAAGGTATTTATGGCAAGCCCACCACCTCTTTACCAGACATGATAAAGGCATGTCATATAGTAGGTACTGAAAGCCACAAACAAGGATTGTTGGCTGCAGTATTGAGACCTCCAAATAGAAAATGCTATTGATGTGGAAAAGAGGGACATATCATCAAGGATAGTAAGGAAAAACAAAGGAAGCCTTCCGGAAAATGTAAATGCTGTGGTGAAGGCTTTAATTGGACTAACCAGTACCTCTCTTCTACTGATTTGTCAGAAAACCTGATACTGAGCACGCCTCCAGCCCAAAATCAAAGGAGGCATCACTCTTGTCTCCATCCAACCCAGTACCTGACAAAAGCCTTAACCAGACACAGCTACATGCTTACACACATATTATAATTCATCACATTGTGTTATAGTTTTTCTTCATCTTTCTTGCCTTTTTAGAGAGATTTTTGCTATTGGGCCTGTGCACTCTCCAGAGAGACAGAAAGTGAGAAATCATTCCCCAGGAGGGATATGCCACGCTGCAATCCCTCTCCTCCATTCTCCTCTCGGGATCTTAGGCACGCACATAAATGTGCCTGGTGTGAGTTTTTTTGTTTGTTTGTTTTTTGAGAGTTTTTTGCTATAGGCCAGTGCACTACTCAGAAAGTGAAAAATCACCCCCCAGGGGGGATGGTCACACCACAATCCCTTCTCCATTCTCCTCTCGAGATCTTGGGCATTCACACACATGTACCCAGTGTGAGTTTAAGCCACCGGGTCCAGGACTCGAACCATGTCGACTACATGGGAGTCCAGTGACATAGCCATTAAGCCAAATGCTGGTCCTGAGTTAACCCTTTCTCATCCCTAGCGTGCTTGGAATTTTTCGTTCATGGTCAATTGCTTTGTTTGATGCCTTTGAAAAGTTTTTTTTTTTTTCAAATAATTAACATCTTAAACTGTTATCAATAGTAATGTTTTGTTCTAAATTGAGAAATTTGTTAAATAGTTTTTGTTTGTAAAATACATATCTGTAAGCTGCTGCTATGTACTAAAAGCTAATTTTGCTTTATTAAGTCAAAAATTCCGATAAATATGTAAAGCCCTACATGTAAAGTTACAAGCTAAAGAGTGTCAGATTTTCCAGGCCAGGCAAAAGAACAAGAAATAGACTTTGACAAGTCTAAAGTAATCCTTAAAATGACAAACAGAATATTTTTCTTATCTAATTCATCAAAGGTAACAACTATCTCCAATGGGAAATTTACAAAGAGAGAGAGAGAGAGACAGAAATCAGGTAGAAAGGAAACTGTAAGTAGGAAAAATATATAGAAGGAAAGAAATAGGTATAAAGATGTATTTGTGGTGAAGAGGTTAAAAAGAAAGAGAACATTTCAATAGAGTTTTGTATACTAAAATGTGATTAACTAGTTTAGAATTTGTTAATAAAACAAACCCTCTCCATATTTTTAAAACAAAGAAAGGGGAATTTAGGGCCCCCCTCTACCCATTCTGCCAGATTGCTTTAAGTGTGTTTAAATTGAATAATCTAAATTTGACTTTTTATTCAAAATTGCACCAATGGAGCACAGCCTGGAAGCAAACATCAGCCTCACAAAAACTCCCTCAGGCTGAAGTTTTTTATAAAATGCCTCTAGATCCTACCTGGCAAGGCCCAGTTCCTCTAATAACCTGGGGAAGAGGATTTGCCTCTGTGTTTACTCCTATAGGTCTGGTTTGGATCCCCTCTCATGAGTATGACCTGCACATCATGAGCTGGCATCAGACACTGCAAAGCCTGATACCTAGCTTCCAACTAAGATTCAGGAAAAGAGGAGGACCAAGAAAAGAATAATCAGGCCAGCCACAGTGAGTCCTAGCACCTGGGTTACAGGGAAACAACAGCTAACTATGCTCAGGAAATGCTGAAAGAAGAAGAAAAAGAACCAACACCTGAAAACTTGTTCATTGCTGTTTGCCAAATAGACTGCTAACTCAATGACATATGTTATATCATAATCGTATGCTTATCAGGGTCAATTCAACCCTCTTTAACACTTGCTAATCATGAACCTTTGCAAGGTGAATTCCACCAAGCATTGGATATAATATGTAGAAAAAATTGGCTCAAGAGTTAAATTGGACTAACTTTTGTCTTCAACACAGTGAACATGTTCAGTATATATTGAGATTCTGTTTAAAATCAATAAGTAAACCCCTTGAAGAGATTCAACTAAGACCCCCGATTTATAGGTCGGTGGACCCTACAGTCTGAGAGATATCACGGCGACCCCAACAACCACAAGAGTCAGACCTTGCTGCAAAATACAGGAGGTTTTTATTTGCTAGCGCGCTAGGACTCCGCTCCTAGTCACAACAGACCGAGCGGGAAGTGGAGCCCCGAGCGGAGGGATTACTTTGCTTATATAGGCAAATGCAGGGAGGAGAAAAAAGGGATGGGGGATGATTTATGTGGGATAGGGGCTGCTGGTCAAAGGAATGAGGGTCCCAACCATCATGTTCTCTTTATTGTCCATCTTCCTGTTTGTGTAGGTGGTGATGTTACAGCTGTTGTACAAGGCCAGGGTTAGATTCTCAGGGTGGTCGGTAACCGGCCCATCCTGTCCTTTGAAGAGCTATTCAGAGGCATTCCATCGATATCTGGTTCTTTTTATATGGGCCATATATCTGGCTTATCTAGTTTCTCCATATGGGCCAGAATGCAGGAAGTTAAACAACAATTGAGTAACCCTTCTCTGCCGGGGAAGGGTTCTGACCCTTAATAGCGCAAGCATATGTACAGAAGCGGGAATACAGAAGCGAGAAAGCATGTAGTTAGGTTACTTGCAGTTACATTTTATTCTATCGTTCCCCCCTTTTTATTTGTGATATAGGTTTAAATCTTAAAACCTCAGATGGCCTGGGGAGCTGAATATTGGTGTTGGAGCATGAGGATTTGAACTGAACTAACTCATTCGTGAACGAACGTTATTAACCGGTTCAGGATACAGGGACCTAGAGTCAGGGTGAGAAGGAGTATAATCAAGGGGCCTATTAACGTGGATATCAGGGTAGTGAACCAGGGGGAGCAATTATACCAATTTTCGAACCATCCCTGTTGGGCCTCCCGGTCGCGGCGTCGGTGGTCAAGACGTTCCCGAAGCTTAGACATAGTATCCGCCACAACCCCCGAGTGATCAGTATAAAGACAACATTGTTCGTTAAGAGCAGCACATAGTCCCCCTTCCTTTAGGAATAGGAGGTCGAGGCCCCGCCTGTTCTGTAAGACTACTTCAGAAAGGGAGGTCAAGGATTCCTGCAATTTAGTTATAGACCCCTCTATAGCCCGGAGGTCCTCATCAATTGCAGTCTGAAGACTATTAAAATACTGCGGCGTCTGTATTAGGGCCGCTGTTCCTGTCCCGATGCCTGCAGAGACTCCTAGACCTAACCAAACTGCTAGAGTTAAGGAAATTGGTTCTCTTTTGTATCTAAGAAGTGTGCCAGCAAAAAGGGTTTCAAAAGAGTTACTATCATAGTACAGAATGCGGGGAAGGACACGGACTAATATACAATAGTCTAGGTTTGGGTCAAAAACTGAGGAGGAGAGGCAGGGAGTTAATCCAGTATTACAAGCCCACCAGGTCCCGGGAGGCGGGACGAGATAGGTGTGAGCAGGAGGCTTGGCTGAGAGGGTGATGTTACATAGGTGCTGCCTGCACAGAGGCACATTTCCTAGGCAGGTGCCTCATCCAGATATCGTTGTGAGGGTGAGAGTGGAGTTCCAGACACAGGCATGGGAAGTAGGTGAAACAGAGTAAGCACCCAATGTGGCTATACCTTCATAATAAGGTGGGTTCGTCAGAAGGCATAGCCAACAGGAGTCTGTGAAGCTCAGGTTAGAAGCATTCAGGGCTGCGTAAGCCCCTTTAACTAGATTAAGTATCCTAATATTTGTATCCTGTAGATCCCGCAGAGGTGTCTGTTGTTGAAGGCCTTTAGGCCGCAGGGATTCACCATGGGGCCCGAGAGAGGGAGTGGCCACCGTAGGGGCCCCCGCTTTCTCGGGTCCTTTAAGGCCGGCACTAACCACAGGAGCCTGGGTACGCAGCCTAATCATGAGAGTTACTCTGGGGTCATGTCCCTGAACATACAGGAAGAGTCCCCATGTCTTGCCTCTAATCCAATCACGGCGGGCTTTTCCTTGGGCAGTGAATTCTACCCGTAATGGATTACACCAGTGTGTATAGCAGAGGGATGGGGAAGACTGAATAAACAAGATAGTAATAGAATCCCAGATAGAGGAGGGCTTCCAAGCAGCCCAGTGGTCTCACAACCCCAAAATTGACAGAACAATTTTTCTATGCCGCCACACCATTGCTCCAGCTCAAGTGTTTGGTCATTTTGGGGCAAGCATAGAGAGCTGTAGTCAATAGGAATCGGCCTTGATTCAGGCTTGTGCATCCATGGGAATGCGAGCCTAGGGGGTTATCTACATTGCCAATAGATACGGCCCCCTGGGGAAGGTATGTCAATCCCCGCTTATTGCCGTAAGGGCTATGTGGACCCCCTGCCAGAGCACAGTATTCAGGATATAATGTAGGCCACCAAGTCCAGGGGGGTCTCATCTCGGTTACTGAGTACACTACCACCCCCGAGTGAGAAACGACCTCCCAGGTGAGTAACTGGGGAGCGTGGGGGGTTGTATAAATCAACAGTACTTATCTGGGGCAGCATCATCAGACAGAGCAGGACGGTCTCGACGAACACGAAGCTTGAGTGGATGGTCATGTCTCTCCACTGTCCAAGTCGAGTCCGGCAGCGGCGCTGGTTTGGCAGGGGAAGCATGGATCCAGGAGGAGACGCCATCTACTTTTAGCGCGGTGGGGGTCGTCAGCAATACCAGGAAGGGTCCCTTCCACCTCGGCTCCAAGTTGGCAGTCCGGTGCCTGCGAACATACACATAGTCCCCAACCTGGAATTGATGAGGGATCTGAGTCTCGTCGTGCTTATAGGCTTCTGCCAGCTGGCTCCAGACCTCTTGTACAACTTCAAGAGCTTTTAGTCTAGCATAGAGGGATTGAGAAGAGTGTGAGCCGAGAGAAGGGAAATGCAGAGCAGTGAGTGGG